TAGAAAGAAATTAATAAGACAACTAAAAATATATAGAAAAAATTAGCCGGGCATGGTGGCGCATGCCTGTAGTCCCAGCTACTCGGGAGGCTGAGGAAGAAGGATCACTTGAGCCCAGGAGTTTGAGGTTGCTGTGAGCTAGGCTGATGCCACGGCACTCACTCTAGCCCGGGGAAAAGAGTGGGACTCTGTCTCAAAAAAAAAAAATAATAATAAAACTGCAGTGGTATCATTTTATATAAAGACACCTGTTTTACATTCCTAGAAATTCAATTATTGAGCCCAAAGTATGAACTTTTTGGTGAGAATTTTCTCACCAGATTTTGAAGATTATGTTGGCTTGCTGTAACAATTTGATTCTATTTTGATTATTTTTCTTTAGCTTGTATTTAGGGGAGCCAGTTTTGAGTCTCTAGGATAGAAATCTTTCCAGGAATACATCGATCACAGACTGTTGGAGTTGGTATAAATTCGGGCTCTTCTAATCCAGCTATTACAGATGGGGGCACAGAGGCTCAGAAAGTTTGAATGACCACCCAGAATCACCCAGGATGGAGTGATGGATACTGTGGTTGAACTGAGTCTCCTGACTCCCAGACGAGGGCACTCCTTATTATCTATTGACAGGACATGAAAGGAGAGATGAATCCCTAGAGAGTACATTTGTGAGAGAAAAGAGTGTCCCAGGCAGAGGGAATGGTGAGAGAAGCGACATGGAGGTAAGAGAGTACGGAGTCTGGGCAATGGATTGACTGATGTGGCTGGGCCCAAGACATTAAGTGATACTACAGTGAAAAATGAGTCTGGAAAGGCATAGAATTGTAAGGCTGGTGGCAGGCACCCCTCCCCCCTCCCTAAAGCTGCAAAAGAAGAAGAAGCTGACTGTGCCCGCCGAAAATAACTGGACACAGACAATAAGCCAGACGCAGGCAGTTTCGGTTCCTGGGACTGAGCAACAGACTCCATTTCTTGGAACCCGCCAAGACCCTCAGTTCCACTTCAGGCAGCATAAAAAGCCCTAGCCCCCTCCGAACGGGCGCGACTTCACTGGCCCCCTCTCTCGGGACCAGTGAACCTCGTCCGGGAGTGCTCTTTTTCCCCTTCCCCCAATAAAGCCTCATTGCTTGCCCCTTTTTACTCTGCTCATCTTTCTTTTTCTGCCGCCGCCCATCCAAAAACCTTACAAGAATAAGTCTTGCTGTTCCTAGCCTTGAATTTCATTAATTATATACTAGTTGCTAGTATTTATATAGCATTTTAGAGTTTTGGAAAGTGATTTTACACACATTACCTTATTTGATCCTCACCTCAGTCCTTTACAGATAGAAAACGGGGAGAATGTCCTAAGAGATTTGTCCAAGGTCACACATCAAGCATGGAGCAAGGTTGGGACTTGGAATTCAAATCTGCCAAATCCTGTTACCAAGTATACTGTTTCTCAATCCAGATCCAGATCAATGGCAAAATTAGTAAGCAATTTGCACATGGACTGTAGTGTCACTATTTTTGTAGCATCTTTTACAGACCTGTACTTTTGCTCTTTTCACCGTGTCAATCTTGAAATAGAAAGTTTCATTATTCTCTGCATTAAGCTTTGTGATAGAATGCGTCAGTGCCTCCTTCAGCTCTGGGCTGTCAACAGGTATATCTGTGGGGCAGCCAAGACACTTCTTCGTAGGTGGCTGTACAAAATCTTCCCCTAAAAGAACCAGATTTTAAGTTAGCATGTACACTGAAGCAACAACCTTGCCTAGCACCTCTCCTGTACAAGACCCAGCATCCACATTTGTAGAGGAGCACGCAGTAGCCCAGGCTTACTAGTGAGTGAATGAAGGTTGTCTGTCTGACCTTCACTTCCTGCCTCTCTTAATCCTCCCCAAAGCCCAGTGTATTTAGGGAAACGTATTCACTCAGAACATGTTAGTGACTCAATATGCTACACCTTTCCTGCATTTTTGCATTTTTGATGGAACTTTGAAAAGCAATGCTTAATTTAAAGGAATGACTCTCACATGGGAAAATTTTAAGTCCTGTGGCTCTGGTGAACAGGTAGCTTCAGTAATGCTTCTCACTGTGGAATGTATACAACTATTTTCCAAGTATGAGAAAAGCCAACTCTTGTTATAAGAAATAGTATAATAACTTGATCATAAACTCACACTATCTTCATTTCCCCCCATTAAACCATGCAGAAAAAAAACTTTACTTGAAAGAGTTTTACTCTGAGTGGTTAAAAATGAAGTACAGGTCTCTCCAACTTAAAACACTCAACTTAAGGACAACTTGTACACGAGGAAGACCAGCTGGCATTGTACCCCAAGGCCAACTTTGCCCAGGGAACATAAATTTTCCCTTCTGTCATCATAACTCCTTCTGGCCACTTGCAGAGCAGCATCAGCTGGGCAGGGAAGGGGTACAATGTTTTCATCAAGGTCCGTAGATTACACAGACTTTCTGGTATTTCATGGGAACGAAAGCGTAATTTATACGAAAAGACCCAGCCAATTGTCTGGAACCACTGTTTCACTATTGGGTGCCAATGTGTGTTATCCCTCACCTGGATAAATGTCACACTCCTGTGAGTAGGAAGCAATTCTTTGCTCAATATCCATGTATGCGTTATCTGTACATTCACCGATATCCTGGTTTTTAGAAAACACATAAGTGCCTACATTAAAAACATGTTTTAGAATCTTTGAGCAACTAGTAAAATTGAAAAATAGGATGTCTACTTTCCAAAACATGGCATGCAATAAAAATGAAACAAAACATAGTCTTACTGCAAAAAAAGAGAATAAGACACAGTTAGGCAATAGTATCCATAACAACAACAAACACATGAACACAGAAAACATGAAATAAGATGACAAGAATATGTAGCATAGAAATAAGAACCATATAGGTGCAAACGGGTAAAATTTTCTTTTGAAAAGGCAAAGACTTTCAGATTAAGTTAAAACAAAATCAGTTTATTATAATTTCAAGAATCATAATAAAAAATAAGGCTTAAAAATAAGGGATAAGCAAAGCTATATGAGATAAATATAAATAAAAAAGGAACTATGTATTAG